TCCACTGGGGAGTGATGGGGTATATTGTTGCAGAGATGAAGACAGGCTTGTGTACTTCGTCTGAGATCTCTGTACTTTATTCCAGGAGTAATGAGGTAAGAAGTAATTTGTTAAGTGTAAGCAAATATTTTCATAGATTTTGGTTAGCTTATGCTGTTTTTTAAAATGTAGTATTCTTTAAAAGTTTTCCCTTCAGTCACATAAACGATGCCTATAAATTAGGAAAATTCATGAAGTGCAAGAAAGTGAAAAATAATAGTGATCTTACTCATTGGTGTGTGTAATGTGAAATTCTTTTCCTATTGAAATAGTTTTGAAATTTGGTATGTGTCTGAGAAGCTCTGATGCCATACACCTAGATTGTTGCCCTAGTTATTATGGTTTTTTCTTTTTTGCCTGCTACCTCCCTTTCTAGACCTTAGTTGGAATTCTTAAGTGAAAGGACATGTCTTTATCTCTGCATCCCAAGCACTTGTTGTGACCAGAATGCACAAATAGCAGTGCTTATGAAGTTTGAATCTCATAAGCACTGTTTAATAGAAGAAAGGGAAACCTGAGTCCCTGAAAGATTTACAGCCACTTCAGTGGATACAGAAATGAGAACTAACCAGAAATTAGTTGGAGGTCTGGCATCCAGCATTGAGCTCTCTAGGTGATATGCAAAAATGTAATGGCAATGGATTTTTCACTGAAATGTCCTAGCCCCATGGTTCTTAATATCACCTGGGAATTTGTTAGAAATACAAGTTCTTGGGTCCCACTCTGGATCTACTGAGTCAATTTGGGGGATGAAACTTCGCAGTCTGACAGGTTCTCTATGTGATTCTGATGAACTCTCAAGTTTGAAGCCACTAGACTAGAACAGCAGTGAGACTGCATGCAGACGTGTACTGAAGAAGTCACAGCATGGAAATATTGAATGTCCAAAGATACATGTATTTTTATCATAGATATGTATATTTTTGTATCAGAGAAAACTGTGAGGATAAGATTTATTGTCACAAATAAAGCTGGATGTGTTGTGAATGGACAAGTTCTACTTACCTTGTTTGGGGTACAGCTTTCCTCTTGTTAGCATTTAATTAGGTCAGGTAGATTTAAAATAGATTATTTGTACCAGAAGCACCTCAGACTTATAAAAATCTCCACCCACATTTTCCCCCATATTCACATAACTATCAACTGAATTTGCCAACTTAGATGCCTCCTAGAATTCCCTGATCTCTAAAACTGCATGTCTGATCTATTCTGTCAGATTTTTACCACCTCATGGATTTCCTGTTTCAGAGAACTATGCAGCTATCCATTCAGTTTACCTAGTATGGTGTTGTGCTGTGCTTCGTTTTACTTAGTTCTCCTCACACTGTCATGTCTACCACCTCATAGCTTTCAAAGGTACTTTTTTCCTCTTTATCCCCACTGATACTTTTCTAATTTAGACCATCATCAGTTTCTCACTAGATTTTTTTTTTTTTTAACAACTTATAACTGGTCCAAGGTCTCCAGTCCTTCTCACAGCCTCTGACCCATTCTCATGGCGGCCAGAAGAAGCAGTCCAAAATGAAAATCTGATAAGTTTTTTGTTTACAATTACTCAGGTACCCCCCTTTACCTTGTTGATAAAATGCATCCTCTTTTTAACGCCTTTAGGATCTGTTCCTTTTCCATCTATCTCTTGTCCTTGCACCTCCAGTTCCTCTGCTATTTCCTGTATTTCGAGTACCGTTTTTGCTTTCCTTTACTAGACCAACAGTCAATCCTTTCTAGAGGCTGTTTAGATGCTGCCTCTCTGAGAAGTTTCCTCTGACCTTCTGCAGTATAGTTCTCTGCACAATACCCTAAAATTCCCCTTGTGTACCATTTATTCCACCTTTCTGTAAATGCCTTGTTATATAACATATCCTCGCTTTCCTCCTTCCATCATAATAGATTATAGGTCCCATAAGGATTAAGACTGAAATAGTATCATATTAGTAGTTTCAAACACATTAACTGGTAGATAATAGATCCACCACAAACTTAGTGAAATAAATATTAACCAGTAATCTGGATATGGTAATTGGAAATAATTTTAAAGATTGATGGGTAGAACTTCTATTTTCTACCATTTGCCTTTCATCGTGTTCATTTATCCATTCATCTAGTATTTGTAGAATGCCCTCTGTGTACCAGGAACTGGCAGTTGCTATGATTGTTTATGATAATATTCAAATAATCATTACAGCAGAAGGAGATGAACAGTTAAAAAGTAGTTTATGTACAGTGCAACGAGGTCAAGAGAGAGGCAAAGTGGCATACTAAGGGAGCAGCTAGGAGCAGGTAGCCCAAATTTGGAGGTTTAGGAAGAGGTGATGCTTGTGATGGTAGTGTTTGAGTGAAAGAATGGAAATACATGTTCTATGCAAAGGGAACAAACAAGAAAATCTGCTCGTTAACAAGAGGACATGGCACTTTATGACTTGGTGCCAGTGCTTTTCAGGGGAGCAATCTTTGAGTAAGTTTGGGAAGGTTGTGTTTTAGAAAGTGTTATGGTTTGTGTCTAGATGTCCCCCCAAAGCCTCATGCATTCATGGGGTGGGCTTCTAGAGTTTTTGATTGATTCCTAGTCCAGTGCTGGGATTATGGGTGTGAGTGCTAAACCTGCCCTGGAGCAGTTAGCTTACATACAACATAAGGGAGGGAAAGAGGTTTGCTCTCTGCTGCTCCTCCATTGTTTGTGCTTGCCACTTTTGCTGTTTTCTACCACCATGAACTGTTGCACTCTGCTGTGTGCCACCCTACCTTGCAGCCAGTTGATGATAGATTGAAACCTCCACAAACTGTGAGCTAAATAAACCTTTCCTTCCTTAATTCTGGACATCAGATATTTTGTCTCAGCAACAAGAAAAAAGTGACCAAGACAGAATTTGGTACCGGGAGTGGGACCATTGCTGTAACTATACATGACCATGTGGTTCAAGAGCCTTTGTGGGAAGAGTTGGGAAAGGTTCGGAGATTTCACCTGAAAGAAAAGCACTAGAAAGCCTTTGACTGTCGTGTATGGGAGATTCTGGTCAGAGCTCAGAAGACCAGAAGTCTGATAAAAATCATGCCAGTAATGACCGGGTTTGGGAGGTTTCTGCTGGGAAGAAGGATTGCTTTGATAGTTGGAGTCTAGACGAGGTGTGTTATGGCTTGGCAGAAAGTTTGCCTGCATTTTGCTTGTGTCCAAAGATTTTGCTGAGACTGAGATTAAGGGCAATGAACTAATTAATCTGGCAGAAGAAATTTCAAGGCAGTTAAATGTTGAGGCTATGACATGGCTATTGTTGGGGGCTTTTAGCCTGATTCATGTTGAGAATCAAGAACAAAGAGCCCAGCAGGATGATTTAAAACGTTGTGAGTTTGGCCAGAAAGAAAGCTCCAGTAAAGCTGAGGACTGCAGTGATAGAGCTGAGGAGAGTTCCATTGCTCAGGGCCAGGAGAATAGAAAAGATGGCCTGAGGACATCACAAGAAGCAGCAAGTCTGTGCACTTTACAGCCTCAAACCTGCAAAGATGAAAAACTTTGCTTTGAGGAGAAAACCGCAGAGCGCCATGTCCCAAAATGGTGGCTGCCGCACCATGTGCCAGAATAGCAGAGACATAAGAGAATTTGCTCCTCAGAATCAGGTTCAGAGTGCTCAGCAATCCAGGGACTCACCCTCTTTAGCTGAGAGAGACAAAGCAAAGCCTGGCTAGTGCCCCAGTTGGTATCAGACCTTGGCGTCATCCACATGGCACTCATTTTAGGCACATAAAGAATGCAAGAATGCTGAGGTTTAGAAGGCTTCCACCTAGATTTCAGAAGGCCAGGGAGGCCAGGCAGTGTGCCCCTGAGAGGGCAGTGTGTGAAGCTGTGAGTGTGAAACAAAAGGTATAAAGCAGACCCCAGATATTTAGAATAGCCAGGAACATGGATTATCTGAGGAAAGCTGCAAGGAGAGAGCAAAGTGGGCCCAAGAGAGAAGCCATGAGACTACAACCACCAGAAGTGTGGTAGGGGCAGAGCCACGTAAGGCCTTTGGAGCTCACAGTGTGCCACAGATTGCTTCAGATGTTCCACATGGAACTACAAGACCTGTTGGATTTGGATTTGCTTTGGTCCCAATGCTTTGTATCCCCATTTGTACCCTTTTGAATGGTAATATTTGTTTTGTGCCATTGAATGTTGGAAGTGTTTAACTTTTCATTTGTACAGGGGCTCACAGCTAAGAGTTTTGTCTTCTCTGAGGAGACTAGGGACTGGAACTTTTCAGCAATGCTAAAACTGTTAGGACTTTGGTAACTCTTAGATGAACTAAAGTACCTTTTACGTAAAGGGATATATGTAAGTCTTTGAGGGGCCAGGAGCAGAATGTTATGGTTTGTGTCTGGATGTCCCTGCAAAGCCTTGTGAATTCATGAGACAGGCTTCCAGAATTTATAATTGATTCATGGTCCCATGCTGGGATTATGGATGTGAGTGCTACACCTGCCCTGGGGTGGGTAGCTTGCATACAACATAAGGGAGGGAAAGAGACTTGCTTTCTGCTGTTCCTCCGTTATTTACGCTTGCTGTTTTTACTGTTTTCTGCCACCATGAATTGTTTCCCTCTGCCGTGTGCCACTCTGCCTTGGAGCCAACTGATTATAGACTAAAACTTCCACAACCTGTAAGCTAAATAAACCTTTCCTTCCTTAATTCTGGGCGTTAGGTATTTTGTCTCAGCAACAAGAAAAAGGTAACCAAGACGGAAAGGTTGCAGTGTAAGGAATCCACTGAAGGGAGGAAAAGGTGGATAGCCCAATAAATGTAATCCAGCAGGGAGAGGAGAGCAGCCAGAGTCTAAGGAAAGGGCTGTGGGAGATGGAGGGTAATGAGTGCATTAGAAGAATATTTTGGACGAAGACTGAGCAATGGATTGGATTTGCAGTGGACTGCATTGCTAGCATGAGGAAAGAGAACTGTGTCTTTCTAACATCTTCTTTCTATTCTGTAGCTCCTGGCAAGAATAAGGTAAAGATTCCACAAAAGAAATTGCAGCAGAGATATCCATGGCAATAGCTATAGGCTGTCAAATCAAGGAACTGCAAGAAAGTGGAAAGGTGAGATCTCCTCAGTGCATTTCCCAATTATAGGTGAAAAACATCCCTGTTATCTAATTTGATGGAAAGCAGCATCAAATGACTACTACTCGTTACAAGTATTACTTCTTGCTCATTTCCACGTCATGTACTTGAATTTGTTACAGATAAAGTCTTCTGCCATTTATTTGTGTAGGATCTGTATCAGTTGAGGATCCCTAGCAGAGCACATTTAATATAAAATATATGTATGTATATGACAGATGAAGGATTTACAAGGTAGGCTTCCAGAGTCAAGTGTGTAAAAATACAAAAGGGCTGACAGTCTAAAGGATCTAGTCAAAAGCTGAAAGCCTGGAGTTCACTGCAGAGCCCCACATGAGTTCATACCTGGAAGCCTAAGGGTCTGCTGGAAATTGGAGTCTCCACTGGAAGCCTGGAGATAGATGTCTAGAGGTGATGGTGAACACTGAAGCTCCTGTAGCAAAGAAAAGTGAGGCTTGCTTCTTTCCCTTTTTATTCCATCCAGGATATGAGCCTATTGGTTGGTGTGCCTCACCCCCCTTCTCTCTTCAGTGAGTCGATCATCTAGACACACTCAGCATATGCTAAACATGTGCTAGGCATTTCTTGTTCAAGTTGACACTGTACTGAATTATCATACATCCATGTAGGTATTACTGAAGCTTACATTTTAAAAACCTTTGCTGCTGAACATACTACAAAGCTCAAGAAATGCAACTTTATTTTACCATGTACAGTGGTACCTCAGTTCACAAACTTAATTCGTTCTATGTTTTTGGAAAAGATGGCCACATTTGTGTTTGTGTGGGAAAGATGACTGGAGTCATGTTTCTCACCTGATGCAGAAATTGGAAACAAAAAAAAAAAATTTTGCCAAAGGCTTGTATTTGTGAACCACACTGCAAACAAAAGCATTAGTGAACCAAGGTTCCCCTGTAGTTTTCAGTCCTTTTACCATCTAACAAATAGCATTCAACATCTCTTTGGTAAAATAATAGAATTTTAAAGGACTGTGACAGTGTTTTATTTTCTAGACCTTTATGTTGTGAGTGAAATGACTTCTCTAAGATCACATGGCTAGCTAATGGTAATGAACTACAGGATCTATGCCTTCCTTTTGAGTTTGGCATTCTTTGTTAGTTTGGTGGACCTTTCAGAGGTCTCGGATAAATGAGTTAAGTTTATTGTGTTGAGAGCCCTTTTGTATTTTTTCCCAGTTTGTATAGGGGTATAACAGACAAATAAAAAATATATATTCAGAGTGAACAATATGATCTTATATACATATACATTGTAAAATGACTGCCATAATCAAATTAATTTATCCAACTATCACTACCCATCTTTAATTATTGTGTGTATATGTCAAACACAGAATTTTTCATGCTGTCACTGAAGGCTTGTACCTTTCAATCAGCATCACCCCATTTTTCCTAAACCTCAGCAACCACCATTTTACTCTTGATGTCTATGAATTATATGTTTTTAGATTCTACATACATAAATAAGATCACACAAAGGATTCATTTTTGAAACTTAAGTGGGATTTTTGGTCATAGTTGTGATTTGCCAGTTCATTAATAAAAGTTAAAATATCTAAATAAGTCTATACATGTAGCTAAAAGAATGAGTGCTTTAATTGCATTGGCTTGCCCATAATACATTTTGAGTGACCATTAATCAACTTCATGTTTCATTAACATTTTTTCCTTGAGTTTCCTTGAGTTGTTACCTTGATATGTTTTAGTGTATATCTTTATGTCTTAGTTTGCTTTTTTTGAAGTATTGCCTGATGTGTACACTGTTAGTGTTCCTTAGATCTAAAATAGTCCCCAAGGGCTCATGCCTGTGGAAGGTGATTGGATGATGGGGCATTGTAGCTGGCTTACTGGCAGGAGGTGGGGTCTGGCCAGAAGAGGCGGGTCACTGTTGACCTGACGTGGAAGGGTTATCTCCTTCCGGTTTCTGCCTTGGTGCTCTCTGCTTCCTGGGTACCCTGAGGCGAACAGCTTCTCTCTAGCCGGTCCTTTCTACCATCCTGGCTACCGTGCCAGCACTGAAACTTACGCTGGCCACAGTAAACCTCTCCTCCTCTTTCAAGTTGCAAGGGTTGTTCATTTTGTCCCAGTGATGGAGAACATGACTAAGGCAATGACATTGTCTACATTCTTAAACGCACTATGGTAAGATTCAGTAGTACTTAGTTTCTGCATGAGTATGATAGAATAATAAACATATATTGTTCATTTCTTTTTCTAACTTCCTTGATAAGTACAAAATACATCTTGGAAAGATAAAGTGACTGCTTGACAAACCCACCTTTGAAGTAAATAGGAGCACTGGAAATTAAATTGAGGTCCTCACCGCCCATTGCCATGTTCTATATAGTTCGTTGTATTTATTATGTTCATATGTTTCTCCATTAGTTGTGTTATTATGATTGAGCTCATCCTTAGTAAGTTCAGGATTGTAATGTATCTGTACTAAAATATCTGACCGAATGGCTAGAGTTACAGTTAAAGCTCAGTGGTAGAGTTCTGCCTAGCGTATACCATGCCCTGTGTTCAAGCCCCGGCACCCAAAATCAAAAATGGGGTGTCTGACCAAGGAGTTTTATTTAGAAGTATGTTTGTGGAAGTAGCGTACAATAGTTCTTCTTTTTATTTTTTAGGTGTTACTTCTTTAATGAGGAAAGGTTAAAAAAAAGTAGGGGCAGTGGAGTGAAAAGAAAGACGTTCCAAATTAAAAGTGATTATTTACTGCACTGTTTTTACATTACTGGAAGCCTGTCTTCTGTGTGTCGTGTGTGCATTGTGAATTCGAGTTTTCCAAATGTAAGTGGAGGAGATAGTATAAGAGTGCAACTGCTGGATGACGTTCCTTCCTTGTGTTCTTTCCTAGGAACCTGCAGAGAGGACATGGCTCCCCGAGAAGGAGATGCAAAGAGCACAGACAGAGTGCTACGAATAAGTCAGTTGGATGCACTGGAACTGAACAAGGCTCTGGAGCAGCTAGTGTGGTCCCAGTTTGCTCAGTGCTTTCATGGATTTAAACCAGGGCTGCTGGCTCGCTTTGAGCCAGAAGTGAAAGCATTCTTGTGGCTTTTCTTGTGGCGATTCACCGTCTACTCCAAAAATGCCACTGTGGGACAATCAGTTTTGAACATTCAGTACAGAAATGATTGTCCCTCAAACGCAAGTTATCTTCCACCGAGTCAGAATCAGAAACTCTGGTATGCTGCGTGTACCACTGGGGGGAGGTGGCTGGAGGAACGGTGCTATGACCTGCTCCGAAATCACCACGTGGCCTCATTTGGGAAAGTCAAGCAGTGTGTGAATTTTGTGTTTGGACTTTTGAAATTAGGTGAGTTAGTTAATTTTCTGATTTTCCTTCAAAGGGGAAAGTTTGCAACTTTAACAGAACGTTTCCTAGGCATCCATTCTGTATTTTGCAAGCCCCAAAACGTCCGTGAAGTTGGCTTTGAGTATATGAACAGGGAACTCCTCTGGCATGGTTTTGCCGAGTTCCTTATTTTTCTCTTGCCGCTTATCAATATCCAGAAGTTGAAAGCGAAATTGTGTTCCTGGTGCATCCCCCTTGCGGGTGTCCCTCCTAGTGACCGTGCGCCGGCCGCCAGTGGCAAGGAGTGCTGTCTGTGTGGGGCGTGGCCCACCATGCCGCACACCATAGGGTGCGCGCACGTCTTCTGCTATTACTGTGTGAAGAGCAGTTTCTTATTTGACATGTACTTCTCCTGTCCCAAGTGTGGCGCAGAGGTGCAGAGCGTGCAGCCCCTGAAGTCAGGAGTTGAGATGTCAGAAGTGAATGCTCTTTAGAAACTGAAACGGTTTCCTGTGAGAGAAAAGTGTATTTTAAATCCTCAGTATTCATCTTCCTTGTATTTAGATGTCTAAGGCCTGTGCCTCTCAGCCACTGTCTTCAGTTCCTTCCTAGCACAGCTAAATTTTAATCACTGATAAAGGTAATTATGAACAGATTGTGCTAATGTTCATTTTTTAAAAATTGACTGGGTTTGATTTTTAATGTCAAGAATGATGGAGAGTTTTTTGTCAGACGACTGTTCCTTCGTTTTGCTACTTCATGGACTTTGAACTCTAAAAATAAAGTATTTTGGAGGCTCTAAGATGACCGTGCTTTATTTTCAGAGATGACATATCATACTATCCTAATCTGACAATGATTATCCTTAAACCGTAAGATCTGCTGCCTCTTGTAATGTTAAGCTTTCCTTTGAAGCCAGTTTTCAAGAGGTTCAGTTCCTGCTGTCAGTATCCTCCAGCTGACTACTTCTTTCGGAAAGTAAAAGTTGCTTCAGGCAGCTTAAGTGAGTCCTGAGGACCGGGGGGATCGACTGATCGGAGAACACCACGTGCTGAGTCTCTTCCTCCAGGCTTTGATTCAGACAGTGTATTAGTAGACTTATGAAATGTGTGTAGCTTTTCACGTACAGGACTGTATATCAGGGTACGCATCACTCCTTTGCTCTACGTTTTTCACAGTTGGCAGCAAGTCCTTGGGTAGAAATTGGGTAGCATATCTTAGTATGTATAACATCTAATGCTACCTTTCCATTTTTTAGTTCTTTATAATGTTCCTTTCTCGTTGCTTTTAATGAACCACACACAGATGGCAGGTAATCGATGGACTTGTGCTTGTCTTTGACACCCCAGTGCTCATTCTAGGACCTCTGCGTCGCTGCAGACGTTCATACCTTCTGGGCAAGTTACTGTGAATGTCCCAGAGACCCCACTCAGTCCCTGCTTCCCTGGACACCGCCAGAAGACTCGGGGCTCACTGCTCAGCAGTACTGGGTCAGATTTAACCCCGTGATGGGTTTCTAGTGTAGCTTTAAGAACTTACGGGTTGTGAATGTTTTTTCTTTAGAAAATAAGAACTTTTACACTTCTTTTCCCTTCTGTTCCTTGCAACTTATTCTCCATGCATACTTCTCTATTGTGTATTTAAAATATCTGGTGGGCCTCAGTGAGCATATCTGAATTACTAAGGTATCAGTCAGCTAACAAGGAACATCTTGCTTCCTGGCTCATAACTCCCACCTTCCATGATAAGTCAGCCTTAACTTCCATAAGATTTTATTTGTTCACCTGTAAAATGGACGTTCAGTAATGTCTACCTGTCAGATTTGTAAGAGGAATTAAGTAAGTCATTCTTTAAGAAGGTACTTTTTGAGCCTCTATGGACATTCTTCTGTGTTGCATTTATGAATAAAGCAGAAAACCCTTGGTCTCATGGAGTTTACATTCATGGAAAGGCAACAAACACCTGTATAAGGTAATTGCAGATCTTGAAGTACTTTGAAGAAAATAAAAGAAGCTAAGGAAATAACAACAGGGGATGCTGTGTTGAACTGAATGTTCATGGAATGCCTCCTTGAGGAGGTGGAATTTCAAGGGTCTTGAAGGAAATGAGAAAGCGAAGCGGACAGAGGAATACTAGGATACAGAAACGGCAGGTGCTTAATGTCTGAGAGGAGAGTCCTGCTACCTGTCCAGATAACAGAAGGAAACTACCATGAGCGAGAGAAAGGAGGATGGGAAGTGAGTGAGTGAGGCAAAGGACGATGGGGAGTGGAGATACGGGCTTATTCCAATGTAAGGAACCATGAGACAATTTTCAGCAAAGAAGTAAGATGCTCACATTTACATTTTTAAAGGATCATTGGATGATTTGTGGGGAGGTATGATTAAATGCAAGAAAACCAAGTCAAAGGCTGTAGAAATAAAGTAGTATGAGTCATGTTTATTATTTCTGTTAGATTTCATCAACAGTATCAATCTTAAAAAAACCTCAGTGGATTTCTTCACCAAACTTGGGAGAGTGCCTTGAGGGCCTGCTTAGAGGCTGCTTTATTCTGAGTAGGATTCTGGTGAACATTCACCCACAGACTAAAAATAGCAGTTAGAAAGGAGGGACTTTAAAAAACCATGTTTACAATTGCAAACAGTAATGGGCAACTTGGCACTGCAGACAAAAATCTTTCAAACAAAAAACCCTACTGTGGTAACACTGTCGGAGGACTCAGGCACTAACGACTAACTTTGAACAGTAATTGTGGCTTAAAAACTAACCGTGGATCATCAGTAAAGGTACGTCGTGTTCTGTATAATTTGGGTAACAAGGCAGGGAAATTAGTACTGCTATATTTGAAAAAACCTTCCCACTGTGTTGGCATTTAAAGGCACAACTTATTTGGAACATTCTCTTTTAGCCAAAAGCTGTTATTCCTAATAGCACTCAATATGTGTCACTGTCTTAAGAAAAGATATTTTCAGTGACAGAACAATGCCAAGCATTCTTTTTAGGCAAACCAGTTGACCAAGTTGTCTTACAGAACATGTGATCTTCGATTCTCTGAATCTAATCTTAGTTTCTAATGTATGCTTGTGTAAACCCAGTATGTGCTATTTATTTATATTAATAACCACAAGTAAACAGACATTTTGCCTTTGTCTTTTATTTTTCTTCAAGGAGTACGTAAATCATGAAACAAGACAATTTACCTTCATGTTTCCAAATAGTCCATTATTTCCTCTCTGTTTACACACACACAAAGGTGGCTAGAGTTGTAATTTTTTTAATGAAAAACTAAAAGTAAACGTTTTGTACAATACTTTACTGAATTCTTAATGGAGTTATTCTGGCAACTGTAACAAGTCAAACAAGGTCACACCAAGTCACTCCTGAGGCCCAAAGATACAGAAATATGGCATTCTTTAAGTCGTTTATTTTCCTTGCCATGAACAGTAGGATAACCCATTCCTTTTCCAAACACGAGAGCAAATAAAACAAAAATCTGTTTAGTTAGGTGAAACTGATTTTCAAGATCAAGTTGATTTGGGCATGCTTATATCCAGTGAACCTGAAGAATCAATCTGAAGAATCAGTCCATTGAAAAGATGCTGAATGCAGTACTGTTCATAGCTTTAAAAAAATGTGAAACAATAATAGCAATAAAAATAGTATATCTGTGTAATTCACTGAAATGTTACATAAATACCATGGAGAAAAATTTCATGCAAAAATCCTTATGAACTTTAAAGTGCTTATAAATTGAAGTGAAAGAAATAGGATACTAAAGTAAGCACAGTTTCAGAAATGAGGTAAACAGGAACATTATATCTCATTAACAATAACTAGTTCTCATAATTCAATTTTGATTTTCTTTCTACTATTTTGTTTCCCAGATTTTCTGTAAGGACTATTTTGCTTCCCAGATCTACAATTTTAAATAAATTATTTCTTTAAAATTTCATGATCAATTTTTCAGTGCAACTCAAAAGTAAAACATCTACACAGATGGTCAGTAAATCTTGAATTTGTGAGAATGAAAAAGGCTTTAAACTGCTAGAGTCCCAGTTTTTGCATAGAAATAAAATGTGACTTCTGGCCAACCATAACTTGGACAAGTCTGAATTGTTTTGTGCATCTTAAATGACATATTAAATATCAAGCTCCGTAGAGAAAAAAATACATACAGCCCTCCGTGGTGTTTTTGCCATTTAGTTCCGCTGGTCTAGTACCCTGCTGTGTACCCCAAGTTGGCCAGGAACTTGAGATCTTCCCAAGCACTGGGATTACAGGTATGTTACACCAGGCGAGGCTAACTGTACATTTTTAAAAATCACTTAAAAGTACGTAGATCAAAAGAGAAGAGTTCCTACTCCTCTTTCCCAAAGTACTGATATGGTAATTGTAAATAAATAATGAATTTTTTTAAAGTTTAAAATATCCACAACTAATATACTAGATACGAACATCTGAGATGGTATTTACTAATTGTCTAAGCCTGTAAAATGACTTTGCTCAGCTATGATGTAAACATAGAAGGGCTGACATTTCGAAGGTATCGTTGTGCTACTGTTTGCCAGTAATGCCCAGACACAGTTCAGCTTCGCCTTTACTGAAATAGTCAGAATTCTGAGATAGTGGGTGTTATGACTTAGATGTAAAATGATCGCAAGTCTCCTGGGCTCAGAGACGGGGCTTTGGGAGGTGGTTGTATCATGGCACTACACCTATTGGTGCATCATTCTCTTGTCAGGTTCCTAATTGCATGCTGTGTTAGAAGTTTGTGCCTGGATGAGAGACGTGTTCCTGGGGGTGTGAGCCGGAAGAGTATTCCGGTCCCTTGCTCCTCTCTGTGCTTCCTGGCTGCCATAGATTGAATGGCTTTCTTCTGCCCTGCCTTTCCACCCTGCCGTTCCTGCCTTGACGCCTGCTGACCATGAACTGAACCCTCTGGCACCAGGAGCCGAAACAAACTTCAGCCACAGGGAAGCCACTAACACAGTGGGACTGGAGGCTTTCTTCTTTGTAGGTATTCAGGATCATTCCCTGGAAAGCATGGCTCACTCAGCACTCAGAAAAGACCACCCTCTCCTGATCACCTCAGTTCTTTCAACTCATACCAGGTTTGGAGGACAGCCTGTTCTCTAATAATGAAATTATGATTGCTAAAAAAGTTAGCTCCAGATCAAATATAAAAGGCAAATAAATTTTTGAGCGTGAGTGCCCCACCCAGTATTGCCTGTGTTCCTTCTTAGTGTCCTTTCTTGGAGCTCATAGTCTCAGTTTCACTGAGTAAGGCTCTCGTCAGCTTGGTGAGGACAGACACTGTATCTTTTTCATTTCTGTGACACTACATCCCAAAACTGACTCAGTATAGATGTTTGGTAAATATTTGAAGAAGGCAAGAAAGTGTTGGGTCTGATCCTCAAACCGCTCACAAATGAGCAGAGCAGCTTGGTGGTGTGTATTGTACTGGGGTATTTTCCATATGTTTGCTATAATGGTGCAGAGAGGCTAGCACCCCAGTTTGTCTTTGTAGTGTGTCTTAGGAGTGCCATTTTTAATTTAAAATGTTCTGTGGCATTCTTGCTTTGAGGAAAAACACAGTTGGAATTCAGGAGCACAATAAGAGAATTAATAACTTTTCTTTGAAAATACATGCAATTTTGGAGCTGTCAATTTCAGCTATGTCTCTTTAAATACTTTTTCTTCCAGCATCCAACTGGGTTGGTGATTTTTTTTTAATTCCATTATAGAAGTAATAGCTCTGTCTTGGTGTTTTGTAAGCAGATAATATTCTGCTCGTGACTGTCT